GGCTGCGTTCACCATACCATTGGTAATTTTATGTCTAGGAGGCAGCGTTCAACTCACCCTTATTAAATTAATTCTCGAACGTAATATAAATAATAATAATGCGGCGTTCAACTAATCCTCCCATAATATCAGCAATGATGACGCGGCGTTCACCAAGAATGCACGAAGAAACATTCTCCTGTGAATTAAATGGCGGAATTTATTTAAATTTCATTAATTTCTATGAAGCGTTCGGGCACTATATAGTCTGTTTGCATGCAAATTCATGAACGGATTGAATTAAAATTTATGATTCAATGAATGGTTCATATGCTGTACAGTGCATATTTCACACCAGCATATACGTGAATGCATGTATGATGTACGGCCAGTACGGCCAGACTTTTTATTTTAGTGATATTCGAAATTACAGTTGGAGCCATACCTCAAATTTAAATTTTGGGTATCTGAAAAACATTCGATGGCTAGCAAGTAGATTAAATCTGAGGATAATTTGTTTGACATTAATATCCCGCATATATAATAACCATTTATTCTCCGTTGGTTTTCATTTCGTTGTTACAAATTCGAATTTCTAGAACAGCGTGAACACGAGCCGCTGTTTTGTGTAGGCGCTCTAGGTCTCTATAGGTGTACCTAATGCTTCATAAAGACGAGGTAATGCTATGCTATGTTCAGGTCGAAATGCTAATTTAAAGCTGGAATGCTATGTTCAAGTCTGAATGCCATGTTCAGGTCATATCAATAGGGTTAATTAAACCCTTCATTGCTGAATGTGATACTCGATAGCTCCACTTGTCAGATTCAGGTCATATTAAAAGTGCGGATTAGAGCTACACTCGCTCCACTGATTACCATTTGTTATGCCATCTTAAGTTGACATAGACTATTCCATTACCTCATGTCATATTCGTTGCTCAGATTAGGCCACCTCCTCGTTCCAATAATGACACTCACGAACGGTCAAACTGTAAGCAAATATTCGTGCTTCTAATGCCGCTCTTTCGTGCATTTTATTACCCGAGTTACCGCCGTATATCGTATCCGAGTAAACACATTAGCCCTGCAGTATAGCGGTGTCGTTGGTGCTTAGATCTTGCGCCCAATTGACTCAATTAAGATAATTTATTTAAACGAGCTTTACTTGAGGTAAGGCATGAGCTAGCGAAACTGATATGACTAGTTAAAAGTGAATTACAACATTAGAATTATTATCAACATTTACAGGCAGTGGACCGTGGGTTTATACGGTAGTTTTGACCACTTATGATTATTGGAGTAGAAGCTTGAGGACCACGTTTTATGTATTATTGATGAGTGCAGTGACGGAAGTTTGAATTGCCTTAAATGTTAAACTTGCAGTATTGAACGAAACATAATACGGCAGCTTTAGCAGAGAACGTAGCCCGCGACACGAAACAGGCAAGTTTACATTGACCCATACACCAGATATCCGACGCTGAATCAACGTAAATTAAACGTTATTTCAAAGTCATTTGCCTGGAGGAGAGTTAGCAGGAAAGAAGTGCTCGCAAGTCGTAAGTTGTTAGAGGCAATTAATGACGTAAATGAAGAGCAGATTACCGTAGTTCAGAGAAAAGTAATGTAGTCTCAACAAAACAATTGCCGGAACACATATCATTATTACTATCATCTCACTCACGTGACATCACCAAGATGTTACTCAGATCGCTGAGGCTCACAGGAAAATCTATGTATAAGTTAGACTACTTGCGTTTCCCCTGAGTTACGGTTTCTCCTTCAAGCATGCTCATCTCTCGCTCTATTTAATCACGGTATTTCTACGACTTCTTCACAATTCACGATACTTCTTTACAATTCGCAATTTTATTACGTCTACGTGTCGTTCTTCCCCCTTTTCTAATCAAGATATTGACTCGTCTTCTTTACAATTCAATTCCCATAATAAATGTCGTAAGCAGAGCGCCAACTGCAGTTAATTTTCATCAGAACGTCGGACGTCCAAGTCCACGTGAACGTATACCACATCAAATGGTCGGTGGCGATAAATTATATCTTATTCGTATTTATCTTCCTCATTAATGAAATATATCACTTAGAATCAATGCGCTGTATAGCTGAAATGGAGTGTAATATCATTATTTGTTTACAGAAAAAACTTTTAATTTATTTGCATCAACCTAGACCCTCATAACTGAAGAATTTTTTCACGTTGATTGTGTTAACAATTCATTACTTCGATGAAATTCATGATGAGTACAGCGCTTAACAGAGCAAACCGGTCTCGTTTCAAAGCATTATTAACTTTATACATTGATTGAATTAATTATTAAAATTAATTGAGTTAATTATCAATGAATATGAGTTCATATACAAAGGACATGAATTTTTTAAAACCGGATTGAGTTTTTAAATACAGGGTACAATTTAATTTATACAGGACATGAATTAATTAGATCATTGTGAGAGTTAAATTACTGGGTATTATTCATTAAATACAGGGAAGGAGTTACTTAATCTCTAGTTATTTTAGTTAATTACATATTTTGAATCTTTGACGCTTTTCCTGCTTGTTGACAATGATTTAATTTTACATTTTTTATATTATATATATTTAATATTTATATAAAAGATAAATAAAAGCAGTCGTAATTATAGTTAAGTAGTCTTCGTCCTCCAATAATGGAAGTACTTTATTTTACGATCAAAGCAGTATGAATAATATTAGAATTTTTATCTTCATGCTATGATGATTCTCATTTAATAAGCTCAACTCGCATAGAAATATTCATAGTGCATGTCGCCACACGCAAGAGCGTGTATGAACCCATTAATTTTATATTCATGCACCATTCATACTGTATATGGTCATATTCATAACCATTATTGCCGAATCTCTTATATATAGGAAAGTTAAACTTTTTAATTTATAGCATACACGAGAAATTTTATTTATACTATATTAATTGCAATTTTTATACTATTTAATATATTTGTATAATTTAATTTTATATAAGTGTGGCTTAGGGGAATTAGGGGAAGCCACTGATAAATTCCATCAATGTTATTTTCGTGAAGGGTAAAATTATTTAGCACCGTAAACTATAATATAATTTAAAAAAGAGCCAATGCAGCAGCATTTGATCATTACTACAGATTAAAATCTAATTCAAATATAAGTAATTTGGTTAAATTACATGGGTTGTCGTTGGATATTTTCTGTTGAGCAGATTAGGTTGGTGATCTCCTAACCTGTTGGAATGTAATTTCTTCACAAGTTCAAACTTAATGAAAACATGCGTCGTAATAAAAATTATTCATCAGGCAATTCAGCCAAACTTTCCAGCAAAGTTTGAAAAACGAACCTGCGACGAACAGACCGAGTGCATTCTGACGTGAATTTGAGATGATCACAAAACTATTTCCCATTGCTAACCTGTTTTTTCTTTGTAGAATTAATAATTCATGTAATATTTCAAATCCAATTTAGATAATAAGAAAAGTATCGTTCCCAGTCAATATCGCTAATACAGACATTTACCCCAATAATTTAACTCAAGAAAGACATGCTGTAACCAATTACAATCGTTATGAAAATAATTATCACACAGATATCAACATGAATAATAATTTTTAATATAATTTTCTAATTTATTAGTTTTATATAATCGTTAATCAAGGCTATATACGCCATGCCTCATGATCTACACGTCATGCCTCATGATCTACACGCCATGACTCATGATCTACACGCCATGCCTCATGATCTACACGCCATGCCTCATGATTTACACGCCATGCCTCATGATCTACACGCCATGCCTCATGATCTACACTCCTTGCATCATGATCTCCTAAATTTTATTATTAAGATCAATTTTTAATTATTCGTATTCCCGCATTTATCATATATATTCCTTCTTTTCTTTAACTCATATCCCTTTAATTTTCATTCTATATTCCTTTTTTTAACATTTAAATTTTTTTTATATATTTATGTTAAAAATGTGTATATCATATTCTATGTTTTTTATATTTTCATATTATTAATAAGTTTTTATTATTCCTATTTCATTTCATTATTCATGTATCCACCTTTTATCCTTGTATCATGAAGGACATCGGTGGTCGAACATCAGTATAATCTATTTAACAGTAAATCCTGTTAAATAATTAAGCTAATGCGGGGATTTACCACCTCTTCCCGTGACGTTGGCGTCCTGATAATAATCAGCCTAATTCATCGCTGCCCGAACGCCGGCCATTATTTGCTAGTGATTTATAATAGGGTAGTGTCATGCTGGTGCACATCGATATCATGCCAGTAATGTATCGGTATCATGCCAGTAATGTATCGGTATCATGCCAGTAATGTATCGGTATCATGCCAGTGATGTGTCGGTATCATGCCAGTGATGTGTCGGTTTCATGCCAGTAATGTATCGGTATCATGCGAGAAAGTTATCGGTATCGTGCCAACAATGCTTCGCCATCTTGCTAATAATTGATCGGCATAATGCCAGCAATACGACGTTATCAGGCCAGCAATATAGAGACATTATGCCAGAAATATATCGGCATCATGCCAGAAATATATCTTCATCATGCCAGAAAAATATCGGCATCATGCCAGAAAAATATCGGCATCATGCTCTTGTTTCGACAAGCAATCAATGAATGATCGCGAAATGCAGCCAAACCTCAATTATCAACCAACCCACCTATGCACAATTCTGGTAGGAATAACATTGTTACAGATGGATACAGCGCGGCTGACAGACTGAGACAGTCAGTGACGAAATAAAGATAAGCAATCAGACAAATTAATCATCCATGCTGATTGTCGTTCAATTTACTAACTAATTTCTAGATTAATAAGATTTCATATAGAAACTTGATTCAAATCTTTTCAATTATTCAGTTATTGGAGAAAAGCTGTTGCGATACGCAAAACTAAAAAGAGCATATGATGTTCACTTTTACATGACTAAACGGTTGTTGTTTCTTCTCTGCAGGTTGCTGCTATTAACACGTGCTTCGGTTGAGGAGTCGCAAGGTCGAATAAGATTAACAGAAAAGCACATCAACGGCATCAAGTCGAGCTGAAACATTGGAGAAAATTCTTATTACCGATCTCAACTGAAGCATGTGAATAAGTTTTGAAGTATAAACTTGTTTCATTTTCTACCGTCATGGGTATACTGGAAGAAACAAAGCCTCGGACAAACGGGGGAGCCGTTGACATGTGCATGAAAAGAAGTTCCCCTTCCAACCAAATGTTGGTGGCCGCTGCCTCCCTCCTCCATTCTGAGGGGCTTGCCTGCACCTCTACCTCCAGTCTCATAATACCAGGCATGGCCACCACCACAATGTCCGATATTACTACCAACATCATCTCGCACAACATCCACACCATCGCTGGCCTCAGCTCCCCACATCTTAATGTTTCTCAGGCTGGAGGAAGAACTTCCCCACGAGAACGGACGTCTCCCAAGTCCCCCAGATCCCCTAAGAACACCGTGTCCATCAGGCCGACGGCTGAAACAATTTCAAGAGCCCAGTCAATCCTAAGCATTCAGAATCTGACCAAGCAGCTTTCGCCACCGATCACCAAGAAATTCCACGACACCCTCGTACAAATGGTGACTTGCGCGCAATCTATGTCGTCGACAACCGCGTCAACATCGTCGACAACTTCTCCACCTCATCATAATCATCGTCCCCTGTCACCTGCTTTCAGTCCATCTAACGACACACACTCGCTGGCCCATATGAAGCTATCTCTTCATCACAATGCTTCAAGAAGTGCCAAAAAGAAAAGGCCGGGGCCCTCTGAACAGGACATCGAATTGGACGTCGATGTCGTTGAAACAGATTCTGAATTAGAAACTGAGTCTTCATCGTCCGTTTCAAAAATGGAAGATGAATCTTCGACGCCAAATGATGGGACGGGCGCGTTGCTCGAGTGTTGCGACGACACCCCGGACGATAATGGAGCTGAAGATGGCGAAGATTGTGGCGAGGGCGGCAGTAATGGAGACGCCGCTGGACCCACAAAAAGGAAGCAGAGACGCTATCGCACTACCTTCACCTCTTATCAGCTCGAGGAGCTGGAAAAAGTATTTTCTAGGACTCACTATCCCGACGTTTTTACCAGGTGAGGACTGGGCGCGTCATTATTGGATGACATGTTTTCTTTGATGCTAGCGCACTCGAGATGACATCTTTTCAATCAAAAGTCTCAAGTGAATTTAAAAATTTTACACATAGAAAGTCAGTAATTCACATAATCGTTTAGCAATTTATTTCGTAAGGTGAAACTAAAAAGATACCTACTGTAACACGTTACTGGAGTTACGTTGTGTTATTCTAACTAATGATATTAAAGGTCGTCAGCAAAATGTTTAGGGTTTATACATATATAAGTTGCTTCAGGTTGAAAACAACTCGTTAAACAGTTCACATAATTCCTTTTTGCATAAATTATTGATGGCTCACGCCTCACGGTGAAACAAGAATTGCTTTGTCAAAGTAACTTCTTGTACCTAATCTGAGTTAGTCATGTGGTCTGCCTTAATCCTGGCCAGCGGCGCCAGCTTACGGCTTAGGTAATGTCGAAATCTTTGTAGTTTTATTTCCAGCTGATGTTCATCTCTTTTGAGCCTACGATTAACTCTATTGGAAGCCGAAGTGCAGTATAATTGTAAAACTACATTGGAAGTTAATATGTTCTATCATATACCCGTACATTGGAGTATGAGAACCGGGCTATTTTAGCATTAGGGCATGAAGCGTTAGAGAGTTAAAAGTTACATGTATTTCTTTATTGTTAAAGAATATTGGAAGTTGAATGTTTTTTGAATTGTTAGCGAATACTAAAAGGTAGATGGGTTTTCTAGTGGTTGTTAATTTCGGGCAGTAATATGTGCTTTCTAATGTTAGTGAATATTGGAAGTTCAAAGTGTTTTTCCATTGTTAGCGAATAGCGGCTGTTAGGTGCGTTTTTCAAGTGTTAACAAATATCGGGAAATTTGAAGCGTTTTCCCAGTGTTAACGAATAGTGGCAGCTGGATGCGTTTTCTGGTGTTTGCATTGGAAGTAAAAGAAGTTTTTTGTCCTACAGGGAGGAGCTGGCCATGAAGATCGGCCTGACGGAAGCTCGTATTCAGGTGAGGTTTTTGCTGCAGCTCTGTGGGAGTTTTTAGGCTGAACGTAGGCCTCTAATGACGGCCTAAGAATTATTGGGAATGTGTTTGTAGGTTTACAAGCTCGTCACGCTCCACGTCCATGGCAGCTCACCGGATATTGCTTTTCGATGAACCATAATTATCAACTGAATAACTTTAATATTTAGAAACAGTTTATGCTACAAAAAGTTCAACGTTTCTGTACAGAAAATATCAGGAAAAGTTTGTTGGTGGAAAATAAAACGAACTACTTTTCTCCTGCCTGTAAAATGAGCAGGTATGCATTTTGGTTCTCTATTTTACATTCAATATAGATGTGTTTGAAGGCAACTGCTATTTTTCAATCGGAGTTTTTGGAGGCATTGATAAGGCAATAGCTTGTCAATGAATAATGAATTATATTTTTTGCGGAGGACATCCTCGATGATTAAATTAAAATTGTTTCATGATGCGTGCACCGAGCAAAAATTTTAATTTCATCGCGTGTTTGTAAACATAATTGCTCATAACAGTTCTTCCTCTATTTGATTTTAAAAATACTTCTCCAAAATTCGTTTTGTAACAACTAATAAAAATAGGAGATACAATTTAGAACCGTTACATGAGAGACTACGCTCTTCCGCCTATAGAAATTTTCTCAACAGGCGTCGTGATCATTATTCGAAATTCACATCGAAAGTTTTTTGTTGCCCATTCATACGTGAGTGAATTTTACTATAATTTTCGTTTTATTAGGAGTATCACTAATTTCCGTAGCACTGGAAATGATAAACGCCTTCAGGATGTATACAAAAAATGTTCACTCTTAAAAAATGAATGATTAGGTCAAATAGTCTAAATAATGACAGACTTACTTGCGTAAGTAGCACTAATCCGCCACTATGTAGTAGCACTATGCTAGGCCAAACTGCAGCTGGTATGACCCACACTAACGTAAAAAGTGCACCACTATTGGAACAAAGTCCTACGTATTTTTCTGAGTAGGTAATGAATTTCAGAAGGCAAGCTATAATGACTCGGCAGTTAGGAGTGAATGCCATCCTTGTAATTCAAGATCTGAGCAACTGAATGGGAATTCTCGATATGCAATAAATTAAATAGAAAATTCAGGTGAAAAAGTTGGTTATCCAACTTATTCATAAATGCCTTCATATTGCTTCTATTATATTCTTCGTGATCGCTTTTCGTACTTGAACTTGAAGAGTCGTGAAACAATAACATTCTTAAAACATTCGCGATGGTCGTAAGGTGTAACTTCGTTCATCTATTATGGTCGTAAGTTCTTCGATGGCCGCGAGCGAATTCCTTGTCAACGATTGTCGTGTTTTACATAAGAACTTCAATGGCAGCAAACGAGAGTCGGAATAATGACTTAATAATTAATCTAAGCATCGTCTGATATTTTATTCGCCTGATTATTTGCCATCGTAATTAAAGTAACGTTACGTGTAATTTGCCGTCATGGCAGGCAGAGGGTCGGCCGCCCCTGATTTTCATCAGGGTGCGGCCAGCGGTAATTGCCTCATTATTGCGTTTTTACCCTGGCTCGATTATCAGAGTTGCGTTAAACGTTCTTTTGCGTTCATTGAACGTTTGGCGAACGTCGGACTTGTGTTTTTGTGTCATAGTTGGGAGAACGAATTTTACGTTGATTGCACGACTTTTTTTCTTGCATTGAATGAATAATGCACGGATTATATGAATTATTCTACGTGAATTGAATTAATTATGCGTTAATTGTGCGACTTTTTTGTGCGTTTTGCGAGCATTTTGGGTGCCTTGAATAAATGATGTGTGGATTACATAACCTTTACGTGGGATGAATGAGTAATGCGTGGATTCCCTGACTTTTAAAGGGTTGAACGCGGGTTGTGTGGTTGCAGAGGCTTGGGTTGCACGGGTTGCGTGGCGGCAGACGCTCGGGTTGCGCGGGTTGCGCGGTGGCAGAGGCTCGGGTTGCGCGGTTGTGTGATTGCAGAGGCTCGGGTTGCGCGGGTTGCGTGGCGGCAGAGGCTCGGGTTGCNGATATACCGCGCCATTACCGCCTAGTTTACAGCGCGATATACCGCGCCATTACCGCCTAGTTTACAGCGCGATATACCGCGCCATTACCGCCTAGTTTACAGCGCGATATACCGCGCCATTACCGCCTAGTTTACAGCGCGATATACCGCGCCATTACCGCCTAGTTTACAGCGCGATATACCGCGCCATTACCGCCTAGTTTACAGCGCGATATACCGCGCCATTACCGCCTAGTTTACAGCGCGATATACCGCGCCATTACCGCCTAGTTTACAGCGCGATATACCGCGCCATTACCGCCTAGTTTACAGCGCGATATACCGCGCCATTACCGCCTAGTTTACCGCGCGATATACCGCGCCATTACCGCCCAGTTTACCGCGCGATATATCGCACCATTACCGCCTTGTTTACCGCGCGTTATACGAGTTACTGTAACCGTAGCCGTTACCGCTTGCAAGGTTACTGTAACCGTAGCTGTGAACGTCACCGTATGCAAACACTTGCATTAGTCACCTGGACAGAGACTTGGAGTTTTGAGTGAGACTTGCCAAAGTGAGCATTTTTTGCTCCTCTTTGGGTCATCCTGACTCAGTTTGGCCAGGCAAAAGGGTGTATCAGTGCTAAATACAGAAAGTGTGTCACTATTTGGACAATACGATTTATTTTTTTTTTTTTGCGTGGCTTCGAACAGATATTGGTAGAAAATTTGCCTAATTTTAATTTAAAGTTCCGTAATTCCTTCACTAACCTCGCTCATCTGTTCTCTTGCAGGTGTGGTTCCAAAACCGACGAGCGAAATGGCGGAAGCAGGAGAAGGTTGGCCCTTCCAGCCACCCATATGGGGGGACATTTCCCCCCACTTCCCCAGTTCCTCTGCATCCCCCTCCTCTGCCTGCCTCTTTTGGAGGGGCGGGGGGAGGTTACCCTCACTTCCCAACCCATCCCTCACTGAGGGGCGGCAAGTCCCTCGACTCGTCGAGGCTATCGCCATACCTCGCCTCACCGCCGCCATCTTTGTTGCATGCCTCCTACCTGCCTCCTAATATGGCCTCCCTTGCCCTCTTCAGGGACTTACCCTCAGCCTACCCTCGTCCTCCGCCCCTCCCTACCCTCTTGCACGCACAAACCCCCTCATTTACCTCCGTCCTCGCCCACCTTACCCACCGAACTAAACTCGACCCTTACTACTTCCCCCCATACCTCGCCCACCTCACCGCCCTGCCCCCCTCTTCCCCTGTCCTCACTCCACCCTCACCCTCCTACTCCTCCCCCTTGCCCTCCACGTCCTCACCCCCCATGAGTGTCGTGGGACTCATCACGCCCCCCGGGGTCAGTGTCGAGGCCGAGAGGCGCCAGGCGTCACTTCACGACCTCAGGCTTAAGGCGCGCAACCAGGAGGTGCGCCTTGAGCTCCTGCGCAAGGCGGGCGAGATCACCGCCTGAGACACCGCTTGAGACACCGCTTGAGACACCGCTTGAGACACCGCTTGAGACACCGCTTGAGATACCGCCTGAGACACCGCCTGAGACACCGCTTGAGACACTGCTTGAGACACCGCTTGAGATACCGCCTGAGACACCGCTTGAGACACCGCTTGAGACACCGCTTGAGACACCGCTTGAGACACCGCTTGAGACACCGCTTGAGACACCGCTTGAGATACCACATTGTCCTAAATAGTGACTCACTTTACGAACGTAGCACTGATGCACTCTTTTGTTGCGCCAATTTTTGTCAGGGTGACCCAAACAGGCGTCAAGAAGCGCAGCGTTATTTATACTAATTCTCATTTATTTATCTGAGTATAGTTTGTCTCGTTTTAAGTTCCGACTGGAGAATCTTACATGGAAGACCAAATCAAACATGAATTTATTGGTTATAATTTATGAAAAGTTGATCATATTATAAATATAGAATGAACTTTTTGGTTGAAAACTTCTAAAATTTAATCATATACCATGGCCTTTTTAGTTGGAATTAAGAAAATATAATCCAACACCGGAGTTTTAATACGAATAGATATTAATCAATAAAAGTTACAGCATTAAAAGATTAAAATAACGTTGACTTTGCCTCGCGTCGTTCCATTTTTACTGGAGGCTCACCGATGTCAATAAAAAATTAAAACATGTAAATATAGTGTGACTGTAAATTCTATTTACATAATGAACATAAAAGAGTTACGAGTGTTACTATAGCCATTAATGATATACAATATAAATATCTATGTACAAAGATGTTGTTCTATATTTACTTATTAAATAACTGACATTAGAAGTGACGGTAACAGGATAAATGTTAATTGTAAATTTAAAAAATAGTAAATGATAATTGTATATAAATAACGTGATGTAATATAGGTGACTGGATGACGAAATTTATTCTAGATTAAGCATTTAAAAGTTAATTGTTAGACTGTTTACTTAACATTTCGTGTGTCCTCTAAAAAAATTAGAGCTGCTGGCCGACCACTAGCTGGTTGACCAAAAACCTTCGTTTAACCGTCGGTGATTTTTAATTGGGTGTTCATACGACATATAAATATATAGCTATAAGTTTGACAGTGAAGCCTTGCACTATTCCGTCCAATATATATAAATTAAGTATATTTATTGCATATAATATCGCTGTATTATATGCATCATATAACAACGCTGTATTTTATGTATAGAAATAGAACTACATGACTCCGCTCAGACTGCAACGATGTCACTTCTACGAGATGTTGATTTAAAAACCCATCTAAATTGAAGCCATTGCTCTGTCAACCATTTTTTAGTAGAGGTCGTTTATAATTGGTATCAGAATCGAGATTATTGTTTTGATTGAAATAGTTGAATAATCAATCAAAGTCATTTCACAAATATATAGTCAAGGGAACCGCGAGACCTCGAACAGTATTGACTGTTTTTGTGGGAATTTTTCGCTAAGTAAGTTCACCTCAACGCCACTCATAAATGAGATAAAAATATAAAATTTCCTATGTCTATACGACTATTTGTTTGCAATAAGTAGACAGAAAACTAAAATGCTTTAATTTTTTGTTTGGCAAGAAAATTTCACATCTTGTGAGATTCGAGTTGCCAAATACTGACCTATTTTACGCGTATATTTTGACGCGAAATACGTGCGCAAAGGATGATTGTTTCTGCCGCATGCGTTGTATAGGAGCAAGGGGAGTTGTTTTCAGCACGCACATTGATGGAAGCTATGACGATTTTGCCAGTCCAACATGAGAGACGTAAGCAAAACCTGTAAATTTGGTTATGGTAATAACTTTCTTCTGCTTGCTAATAAAATTTTTCTTATTACGTATAATTATTGAGGCTATTTCATTGTCCCTTAAACTTGCAACTATCAATTCTTATTTAATATTCATGCTATTTTACCGTCATGCTGTCGAGGCCGTAGATTCTTGGTTTTTAAACGATACTTGGTTTTTTTATTTTAATACTGCAGGTATTATATCTACGCACTCATACAATGCAAAAAATGAAGAGTTTTTACAATTCATAAAGTAATTATTGACGTTGCGTGCGTAGAAGATTTGGGTTCTCTTGGCCGTATTTACATGCAATGTTACGATGCTTATTAACCTGTCATTTCTATATTCATTCACGCGTCTCTACAAAAGACGAAGCCTATAGGGTCGTCACTACACTTAAGTTTGTCGGAACAACTTTTTAACTTGCAGAGCGCAGGCCAACTCGCTTTATATGCTGTTTCTTTGCAACATTGAATCAATAAATGAATGTGTGATCTGAGAATAAACTTTATTGACCCTTAGGAGGCAAACCAGTGAGTCTAAAATTGCTAAAGAAAATTTAAGCTTAAAAAAATAGGGGTATTCTATTACCTTAATATTATTGCCTAGCTGGGGGCTGAAAAAATGCGTTTCGAAATAAATGATAATGAGGGTGGAACTTTGAATTAATTGGAGGTAACCAGAGAGGGTGATAAATAGAGGCAGAATAGTGAATGTATGTTCATATTGGTGCTAATTATGTCTAAATCAGAGGTCTCAAACTCTTATTATCGCAGTGGGAAGTAACAGCCAGTTAGCGGCCGCGTCATGAAAAGAAATATTATTTCATTAAATTTTATGAACAGTGCGTAGTAAGATCACTCGACTGCTTAGTTCACACATTAGAAAGCTAAAATTCACGTCGAAGATAAAAAGCGAAAATGACACAAGAAAAAATAAATAAATATAAGGTGACAGGCCTATTTATTTATAATTTCAATGGAATGAGAGCTTTACACCCTTTTACAACCTGGCCTTCAGTGAATGGTCGTTATACCTTTGATAAAATCTAGGTAACAACATGCATAGCTTTCCTCTACAGAATCTTCGCTTGCTGTGTTACCGCGTGCAAAAAGGTTGCTTTGTTTGCTGAAATATATTTTCAAGTGATGTATATTGATGGAAAGCAATTGGAACAACTGCTGCTAGAGTTAAATAGGTTGTTGAATAAATATTAATTTAATGGTAGCCAGAGATTGGAAGCTGTTAAATATGTATCGCCTAAAAGCTTTGCAGAAAACAGGCTCGTATCCAAAAGGAATCTAACTTCAAATAAAAACTATATAAACAGGCATCAATAAAAATATCAAGTAGATGCCAGTTGGACTCTAAACATTAAATTAATATATCTAAACTGATATTAGAAGCACATTAAATAAATAATGGAGCTACATTTATCTGGACAACGTAGATTGAAGGCTAAGTTTGCATTCGAATCCTTTCCTAGGTCTAATTATCAAATGCAGTGGGGAAATCTTGAGGCCAGCACTTCGGATGCAAAAAATCAGTCCTATAGGGAAATGTTTTATTGGAGAGAGAAACGGCAGTTAATCTTATAATGTCCTGGTGCCTGTTATCAGCTGCAAGTATTTGCCTGTTGTAAATGCTAACTGCAAGACTGTTTTAAGGTAAGCACAATTGTTAGCCTGTTAACAGTGCTAACTGCAAGACTGATAATAAGGCAGGCACAATTGTTTACCTGTTATCAGTGCTAACTGCTAGACTGATAATAGGGCAGACGCAATTGTTTGCCTGTTTTCAATGCTAACTGCTAGACTGATAATAAGGCAGACACAATAATATTGCTAGCCTATCTTCAATGCTACAACTGCAAGACTGATAATAAGGGAGGCACAATAATATTGCTAGCCTATCTTCAATGCTATAACTGCAAGACTCATAATAAGGCAGGCACAATAATATTGCTAGCCTATCTTCAATGCTAACTGCAGGAGTGATAATTACTCCTCGAGTTTGTATACAGAGGCGGCCGTTAAGCCTCTATAATAAGGCAGACACAATAATATTGCTAGCCTATCTTAATGCTAACTGCAAGACTGATAATAAGGCAGACACAATAATATTGCTAGCCTATCTTCAATGCTAACTGCAAGACTCATAATAAGGCAGACACAATGATATTGCTAGCCTATCTTCAATGTTATAACTGCAAGACTGATAATAAGGCAGACACAATAATATTGCTAGCCTATCTTCAATGCTAACTGTAGGAGTGATAATTACTCCTCGAGTTTGTATACAGAGGCGGCCGTTAAGCCTCCCACTTAAACGTTTAGCGAAGGCAGCTTCCTGTTAAGTAAACAGCTGATAGTTAAAGACTTTTAAATAGAGTATAAAATCCTGCCTGTGGCTAACCGAAGATAGCCAAACCCGGACAAGTGGAGCTGGTGGCTGCGACGGTTACGGTTGGGGCGGTTGAGTGTGGTAATTGTTGAGGTTCTTATGGCGGCCGCAGTTAGCGAAGCTCACGTATAATCTTCAGCTGGTCTACGGTCTCTACTGAGCTACTGAGACGTCTCTGCTGGACTGTCATGCAGGCAGTTCAGTGAGCCGCTCAGCTCAGTCAGTCCACTACAATGGCGCAGTGCGCTCTACTGACTTAGTCCACTCTACTGACCAATCCCCTCTATTGACTTAGTCCACTCTACATACTCAGTCCACTCTACTGACCAGTCCCCTCTACTGACTCAGTCCACTCTACATGCTCAGTCCACTCTACTTACTCAGTCCACTCTTCTTACTCAATCCACTCTGATGACACACTTCACTTTATCGGCTCAGTCCACTCTATTGACTCAGTTCACTCTACCGACTAAGTCTGCTCTACTGACTTAGTCCCCTCTACTAAATCAGTCCACTCGATTGGCTCATTCTATTCTACTGACTTCTTCCACTCAACTGACTCATTCCACTCTACTGACTCAGTCCACTTTACTGACTCAGACCACTCTAATGGCTCAGTTCACTCTATTAACAAACTCCGCTCTACTGACATAGTCGCCTTTACTGAATCAGTCCACTCGATTGACTAATTCTACTCTACTGACTTAGTCCACTATAAGGACTCAGTCCACTCTACTGACTCAGTCCACTTTACTGACTCGGTCCAATCTACTGATTCAGTGTACTCTACTGACTCGGTCCACTCTACTGACTCAGTCCACTCTCCTGACTCAGTCCACTCTACTGATTCAGTCCACTCCACTGACTCAGTCCACTTTTTTGACTCAGGCCACTTTACTGACTCAGGCCACTTTACTGACTCAGTCCACTTTCCTGACTCAGTCCACTCTACTGACTCAGTCCACTCGCCTGACTCAGTCCACTCTAATGATCAGTCCACTCTACTGATCAGTCCACTCTACTGATCAGTCCACTCTACTGACTCAGTCCACTCTCCTGACTCAGTCCACTCTACTGACTATGTCCACTCGCCTGACTCAGTCCACTCTACTGATCAGTCTACTCTACTGACTCAGTCCACTCTACTGACTCAGTCCACTCTCCTGACTCAGTCCACTCTACTGATTCAGTCCACTCCACTGACTCAGTCCACTTTTTTGACTCAGGCCACTTTACTGACTCAGGCCACTTTACTGACTCAGTCCACTTTCCTGACTCAGTCCACTCTACTGACTCAGTCCACTCGCCTGACTCAGTCCACTCTAATGATCAGTCCACTCTACTGATCAGTCCACTCTACTGACTCAATCCACTCTCCTGACTCAGTCCACTCTACTGACTATGTCCACTCGCCTGACTCAGTCCACTCTACTGATCAGTCCACTCTACTGACTCAGTCCACTCTACTGACTTAGTCCACTCTTTTGACTCAGTCCACTCTACTTACTCAGTTCACTCTCCTGACTCAGTCCACTCGCCTGACTCAGTCCACTCTACTGACTCAGTCCACTCTACTGATTCAGTCCACTCTACTGACTCAGTCCACTCTACTGACTCAGTCCATTCTTTTGACTCAGTCCACTCTACTGACTCAGTTCACTCTCCTGACTCAGTCCACTTTTCTGACTCAGCCCACTCCACTGACTCAGTCCACTCTACTTACTCAGTCCACTCTCCGTTCTCCGTCCAAGGTCTAAATTAATTCCCTTAACGAAAACGAGTAAAGAAAACACAATGCATTCCCCATGTGGGTAATTTAACAGCACAAGTTTCTATGAGTGTTGAGTGAACTGGGAATAGAAGTAAAATAATTAATAAAAAAATAATCTACAGTGATCGTTGATTTAGTTGTTTCTTTGGCCAACACGCTGTTGCATCCGCCAAATGATTCCTGAATGATGCAAGCTGTAAATAAATTATAAACTTATAATAAATTTAAATTATGATGTATAAATTATAATTATAAAATAAACTAACTATTATCCATTCAATTTGATATCAATAGTTATTTTCGGTTCTGAATACAATCCCTGCGTTCTAGAATTATCTGATGTGATAGTATTAAAAATTAGAGTTAAATTAATAAAAAGTTTAAATTGGGCAAGTCTGCTCTATTCATGAGAAACATTTATATAAGCATGGTAGCCAGACCCTCATTCGAGTTTTCAAAAAATTGAGGTATGAATTTTCGTTGGATGTTTACAAATTTAAATACTCAGTCTTTTAATAATGCATTAATTTCTGCCAGCGACACTAATATTTTTTATTTCTGACATCGTTCGTACGTTTACATTTTTTTGCATTAACTGAATAGCTGAATAAATAATAAATGAATATATTATAGTATAATAATTTTTTTCTACTGCTGAATTCATTGTACAAAAACAGCCTTCGACAGAGACCGCAATTTCCCTTTGATGACAACCACCGCACTAAATGTGCGGCTTTATTTGACTAAAATAATAACAGGTTCTTGTAAATATAAAATAACAAAATTAAACATCGTGACTGATATTCTTTTTAGCGCATTTTCTCATTTATGGAGAAAAAGGCGTTATTGTGCTCGCCATGTCGGTCTGTCCGTGACTTCACGTTTTCGTCGACGAGAAAATGCGCTCTCTGTCACTCACTGCAGTGAATACTAAGTTATATTTTTTCGGTGTTTATCTGCGCATGCTAGGTCCAGGCTGCGCACACCCATCTTCTACGACGTCCAGCGCTGTACTGATGACGTCATCGTGCCGTGGACCAATTAAAAGCACCGCCGCCCTCATCGTCAATCAAAACAAAAACGTTCGGGCTTTTTTATTGAGACGGATTGTTGAGCGCGGTTGCTTTTTGTGCGCTGTTGATGTTAAGTAAAAGATTGCGAATACTCGGGGCTAATATTAGCATTATTGCTTGATGGATCCTTATTAAATTGCGCCTTAAAAACTGACGACGTACGCATGCATGCGAGATCTGTCAGCCACGGCAGCGCATTGCGTGTCATGGTCCAAACTGACTTTTGCTGGTTCGCTAACTGTTAGA